GTGATTAACATCTTCAACCTTCTCCTTTATGCAAAATAACAATCTCTCGAAACAGAATAAAACAGAAAAATACATATTATTCATGATGTTTGACTTGTCTCCTTAATTGTTTTGTGAAATTTGCCTGCATTTTAGGCAGTTTTCACATCACAGCCCATGACACCTATCGGTCAGTGCCATTTAAATCCTAGTAGGTAATGAGTTGGGAATGGTAGAAACAGCAATAGTGAATATGTATCATTTCCATTTTTTTTTTCTTATTTTGCAGTTCCTGATTGAATTTTCTCCTTTAAGTATTCTTCTCCACAATGATCCATAAATATCTATTTCTCAATGAATTTCCAAGCACCCAAGAATCATTGTCTTGGATTGTCCAGGTACTTGATGAAATCACATTGTTGATTCTATTTGTTTCTGGATCATCCTCATCATCTTTAAAGTAAATGAGAGGAGGGGTTCCTGGATGGCTCAGTTGATTAAGTGTCCAACTTTGGCTCAGGTCATGATCTCCTCATTCATGAGTTCACCCTGCACTGGGTTCTTTGCTGAGAGCACAAAGCCAGCTTGAGATTCTCTCTCACCTTCTCTCTCTCTGCCCCTCCTCACTTGTGCACCTTCTTTCCATTTATTAAAATAAATAAATAAACTTAAGAAATAAAATTAATGAGAGGAAGCATTTTGTTCTTATTCAAACAAAAAACCCAAAGAAACAAAAAACTGTATGCAATCTAAAGACACATAGTCCTCAATCTTCAACATTTCCGGTGTCATTCAGGGCATTAAGGTTTAAACATTATGAACAATCCATCATTCTATTTTACAATTCAGGACTTTCTATGCACACTCACCATTTATGCCTTTATTAATTCCTCAAGTGTTATCAAAACCCTACAATATTATAAATGCTATACTCAAGAATAGAAGCATAATGACAAATTGACAGTGTTTATGTGTTTTGGGTTTATAGCCATTATAGCTTAATATTACTGGGAGAAAGAGAGAGACAGGGGAACGAAAATGAAAGAAGTAATAGAGGTACTTCTGGAATGTGGGGTTATCCATGAGAGTGAAGCATTGAAATCCAAAGGAAAGCAGCATCTCTAGAATTATTCTTAATTTCTTTGGTTTTTAATTACAAAGTCTGATTCCTCTTTTAAGTTTTTTGTTAATTCCAGTTAGTTAACACACAGTGTTATATTAGTTTCAGATGTGCAATATAGTGATTCCACACTTCCATACAACACCTTGTGTTCATCATGACAAGTGGACTTCTTAATCCCCGCCACCAATATAACCCATCCCTCCACCCACCTCCCTGCTGGTAACCATCAATGTGTTCTCTACAGTTAAGAGTCCTTTCTTTCTCTGTCTCTTATTTATTTCCATTTGCTTGTTTGTTTTGTTTCTTAAAATCTACATATGCTTGAAATCATGTGGTATTAGTTTTTACCTGTAGGGAGTCTTAAGGAATGACAGATGAATTGCTGGTAGGTAAGGACATACCATGCCAGGTAGATGGTCTTGGAGCTTAAATAGAGAGTCAAGAAATGGCACAATTTTTCTACATGTAATGCACAACTTGTAGAGACAAGAAAACTACAAATATCAAGAATGGTTATGGACACTATGCAAAATTTTTGAACTTTATTCTGAAAGCTATCATATGTCACTGGCCAGTTTTCACTACAAAAATGCTCATGTGTGTGAATGTGTGTATCTATTTGACACATGGCGGCGTATCTTCTCAGTGGGCTTAAAACATCATGCTTTTAAATCACTCAAGGTTATTGTACTAATGAACACATGAAATGTTCTGTCCAAATTAATGACTTGAGAACGTAAGGCTTATGGGCTGTTCCTGAAAACCTGAGCTCATGGGTCATTTTTAAAAAAAGTATGGAAAATATTCACATGTGTGCAGACGTCCATACTTTGATTTAGGACACTTAAAATACTATATACATAAGCAATATTAGACTGCATGTCACATGGATGTAGATACTCTGGCTTGTTTTATGGACTGGGCCTTATGAATGAATACTAAATTTGATCACTTTGTAAATCCAGAGGCTATCCTGAGGCATCTTTGGAGGCTGTTTTAAATGTCAGTGTTTATTATGGAAAGAGCCTAAATGTCCATCAACTGATGAATGGATAAAGAAATTGTGGTTTATGTACACAATGGAATACTACTTGGCAATGAGAATGAATGAAATATGGCCTTTTGTAGCAACGTGGATGGAACTGGAGAGTGTATGCTAAGTGAAATAAGTCATACAGAGAAAGAGAGATACCATATGTTTTCACTCTTATGTGGATCCTGAGAAAGTTAACAGAAGACCATGGGGGAGGGGAAGGAAAAAAAAAGTTAGACAGGGAGGGAGGCAAACCATAAGAGACTCTTAAAAACTGAGAATAAACTGAGAGTTGATGGGGGGGAAGGGAGGGAAGGGTGAGTGATGGGCATTGAGGAGGGCACATGTTGGGATGAGCACTGGGTGTTGTATGGAAACCAATTTGACAATAAATTTCATATGAAAAAAAAAAATAAATGTCAGTATTTACCAGATAGGATTTGCTTGGATTACCAATAGGGGTTGTGGTGCTTTAGTAACAATTTCTTTGAAATAAAAGTAAAAAAACATCGGAGGCAATTTTAATGTTCTAGTCAGAGTTCAGCAAACATTTATGCAAATAAATAGTTTGGGATATCGGGGGGCAAGGTAACAAAGACTATTTTGTAAGTATTTACATAAAAAGCGACAAGGGATATTTCCAAAAAAATTTTTCATATAATTATATATAATTATGTATCATTTACAATTGACAATAATAATAATAACAATCAGATGTGTAGGTTTCTGTAATGAAAGTCTACTAATCAGGGGAATGTGGAAATGTCCATCATAACTGGTCATTGTGAGAATACTACTCAATTTACAAAGCTTCAATAAAATAAAGATCTAAAGAATGATACTACAAGAGAATGAGTGTTAAATGTGTGATACAGAGCCATTGTGGATACAGATTTTGTCTCCAGAAGTGTCTCAGTGAAAGAAAGGTCACAGAATACTAATTTATACGTAACTCATTGGCACAGGAACATACATTTAAGTACATTTAAGTGTCCTTTCGATCTTTTTCCAAATGAGGACAGCAGAAAGAAACTGACAAAAGTAAATTTAGTTACTTAATTTTTACAGAAAACTTTTTATTTTGTAAGGAATGTCAAAAAATACATATTCCCGAGATGTGCACGGTTTGGCAGATGGCCGAGCAGCAAATGGATAAGAGTTCACGATATATACAGCGGGCTGTTCCAGAGGGTGCAGAGAGAAGAAAGAGATGCTGCCAGCATAAGCACAAGTGAATGAGATGAGAGTCTCAGGGGGAAAAAGAGTGAATGACAGGTGAGTGATGAGTGATGAGTAATGGTGTTATGAAGACAGACCATGGTTTTCAGGTGTCTTGTAAAAACACAACTGGCCCCCAACAACAAAGCATGAAGTGTCTTTGCCGAAGTTCACCCAATAATGTTTCACTACCAGCTTTTCCAGTGATAACCACACCATCCCCCCTGCCCTGTACTCACTTAGGTCCTCTCCCACCTGC